GGCTCCATCCCGTGATGCTGCCATGGGGGGTCTGCCCTCCCCTAAGCTGCTCTTGGGTCTCCCCAGTGCTCCATCAGTAGCTGGGCGTTTCATTCAGCCTTAACGACTTTTTCCTTGTGTAACTCATGTCTGCAGGGGCTCGTGCCCCTTGGTGGTGTTTCCTAACATTTCAAGCAAAGGCTTGCAAAACGTTTTCCGTGCTTTTAAACCCTGGGCACAGCTGAGAGCCGAGGGCAGCAGCTCCTTGCCCCGCTGGAGGTGCATCTCGCTGCCTGGAGCCAGCACACCACGAGCTCTCACGCTGTGCTCAGCGTTCCGCTGTCACAGCCACTGCCTGCCCTGCCCCAGACCCGCCTGGTCCCTCGGACACAGCAGAGAGGGGAACGAGCCACAGTCAACTTCACGCTAGTTTTCTAGACGCGCTGGGCTTCCCAGAGAGAACAAAGCTAGGATTTGTCTTTTTTTTCCTTGGAATGTAGCTTAAACCCAGAAATATTAGCGCTAGAACCAAGGCAGAGACCCATCCTTTGAGCTCGTGGTGTTACATATGGGGAAACACACGAGAAGACCAAAGAAGCTTACCTCTCCTGCTCGAGGAGTTCTCGTCCGTGGAGACTGCCGCGATGCAGAGCTCGTGATCCGCGGGAAACTTGTCACAGTTGAGGATTTCGGGCCAGGGGTAGCCGTAACAAGCCATGACGGGCGCGCAGCTTCTCTTGACGGCTTCGCAGAGGCTGCGGCAGGGGTAGATGAGCCTGGGGAGGGAGGGGAGGGGGGATTGCGGCACCTCTGGGTTGGCAGCGGGCTGGGGGTCGAGCCCTGGCCCCGCGCAGCTGCCACCACGCAGGGCTGGGTTGTGCACCGTATCGCTAGCAGAGCGATTTTGGGGTCTTCGATGAACATGTGCGCCCAGGATGCAAACAACAGATTTCTGACCATAGGAGGGATGAGGTGGCTCGGTACGGGCTGCTGCCAGGGCCCTTCACCCCCTCGGGGGTCTTCTCTCATTGTGCAAAGGCTGTTTACCTTTGCAGGTGCCTAGCTGATCCCCAGATTCCATAGCAGCCCTGTACTGGGGTGGCTCCACCTCAAAAGTGAGGATTTCTCCCTGCTGTTGGCACTGTCGGGCTGGGACCCCCCCCACGTTCTGGGCAGGAGACGGGGGCTGCAGGGGAGGTTGGGGGGTGACGCCGGTGGGTGAAGCAGCTACTCGGGGGCAGCCGGGGGAGCCGGCAGCAGTGCCTGGGGTGGGAGAGCAAGGAAATCCAGAGGAGGGAACATAACGTTCCTGCGAGGTGAAACGCTGGTGTTTGGCTTTCAGAGGGAAGGTCCCTGCTGGGTAATCCCATCGCCCCTGGCCGAGAGCGGCAGCACGGCTTCACGGGGGCCGCGCTGATCGCGCTGCACGCGTTTCCTCTGGAGAGGCACAGGCGTTGGGCGTGGAGAGCGTCGCCACGGCCGGAGTAGCATGTAGGAGCACCTTACCTGTCCAGGCAGATCGGCGCGAAGAGGGAGCAGAGGAAGATCCTAGCATCGGGGTGGCACTCCCGGGCCAGCAAGGGCAGCCAGCTGGAAGACTGCTGGATCCCCTCCGGCATGGTCTCATGCTCCAGCAGGTTGGGAATCCTCATCTCGGAGTAGCCGATGTCGTAGCACAAGGCCATGCGGTGCGGGATGGGCGTGCAGCTGGACGATCTCCGCAGGTAGCTCGCCCCGG